GGTTCCTGGTGGAGGGAGTGGCTTTGTGAGTGGGGCCCAGGAGCCTCCGGGAAGGACTGAACTGAGTGACTTTGGCGCGGGAGCTGGAGGTTTGTGTTCCAGTTGTTCCCCTGGTGTGGAGCTTGCATGCGGGTAGTGCATAGGGGTCCACCATTTTTTTAGGGCTGGGCCCTCCCACAGAGGCTCGGGTCTGGGACTGCATTGGTCTGCTGGAATTGGCGCAGGAGTCCGTATGTGAGTGCGTGCCTGTGCGCGTGCGCATACGGCCTTGGATCCCCACCCTCCATATTGTTTGTGCTGTGTAGCCAGGGAAACGCCAGGCAAGCGCGCTTCAACTACAAAAGACCCAGAAGTGCGTGACTCGCCTTAGGTCCCTGATTTCCGCACTGCACATGCAGAGTTGTCTTGGTGGCAATTGGCTGTCAGGCTGCTCGGCCTGATCTTCGAGCAGCTGATTGAGACAGGCTGAGAAGGAGTTGTCCTGGGAGTGTAGGGCCACGAGCTGTGTGCCTGCGTGATTCAGCCGGGGCTTTCCAGGTGAGTTTGTGTGGGTTGGCTGCTGATGCAGGAGTGCATGCTACTCTGACTTGGTGGGGGCCACTGACCACACCCTGTGGTGCCTTGGGTGCCTGCCCTGACCACCTAGAGCTGTGTTGCCAGGGACACCTTGAGCCCCTGGTCCCTAGCTCCTACCTCTGCAGGCCACAGAGGGTTTTTTGCAACAGCAGACAGCCCGCAACAACATGTGAGGATTTTTGGTGGTGAGCACAGTTCCAAAGCACACAGCAACTAATTGTGGGAAGCTTACTGCAAGTCTAGAGGGAGGTCAGCACATGACGCACTGAGCCCTTCCCCCTAGCAGCTGGTGCTGAGTCACCCAGAATCTCTCTCTTGCTGAGCAAGTGGTCTACAGTGAAGATTACAGCGGGCAGAGAGCACCTCCTTTTTTTTTCTTCTATTTTTCCTTTTTTTTCCCCTCTTTCTCTTTTTTTTTCTTCTTCCTTTTTTCTTTCTAGGTGATCTAATACATCGAAACAATCAGAGCGACAGCCAGAATGAAGAAACAAAAAAACATGTCACAAGTAAAAGATCAGAAAAAACCTCAAGAAATGCAACTAAATGAAACAGAGGTATCCAACTTTTCAGAGACAGAGTTTAGAACATTGATGATAAGAATGTTTCAGGAACTTAAGGAGGNTGACTGATCTGTCTCGCCTGGGAAGAGCGCAGTGAGGGTGCCAACTTGGGCCAGTGAAGCAACGTCCTCCACAACTAGACTGAAGAACAAAAGGAGAGCAACTTATCTGTTCCCCTTCCCCCAATTCCCCAGTGCTGTTCTCATCCCCCAATTCCCCAATTAAGAAAAAATCTTTAAAAAAAGTAGCAAGAAAAAAGCAGTTAATCACTTACAAGGGAGCTCCCATAAGACTATAAGCTGATTTCTCAACAGAAACTTTTCAGGCCAGTAGAAATGGCATGAAATAGTCAAAGTGATAAAAAGCAAGTATGTATAACCAAGATTATGCTACCCAGCAAGCCTATCATTTACAATCGAAGGAAAAATAAAGCACTTCCCAGACAAGAAAAAGCTAAAGGAGTTCATCACCACAAAACCAGTATTACAAGAAATGTTAAAAAGGACTTCTAGAAGAAGAAAGAGGAGAAAGAGGAGGAGGAAGAGATAGAGGTGGGGGAGGAGGAGGAGGAGGAAGAGAAGAGGAAGAGAAGAAGAGGAAGAAGAAAGAAGAAGAAGAAGAAGAAGAAGAAGAAGAAGAAGAAGAAGAAGAAGAAGAAGAAAACAAAGAAGATAAAAATATGAATAATAAAATGGCAATAACTACATATCTATGAATAATTAATTCAAGTGCAAATGGTTTACATAACCTAATAATAAAATAGAGTGGCTGAATGGCTAAGAAAACAAGAACCTTACTTTTGTTGTCTACAAGTGACTCAATTCAGATTGAAAGACACACACACAGACTGAAAGTAAAGGATTGGGAAAAGATATTTCATGATAATGAAAACAAAAACAAAGAAACAAAAAGCTGAGGTAGCAATACTTATACCAGACAAAATAGACTTTAATACAAAGGCTATAAAAAAAGACAAAGAAGAACCCAGTAATCCCATTCTGGGTATTTATCCAAAGAAACTCAAAACACTACTTTGAGGGGATGTGTGCATCCATGTGTTCATTGCAGCATTGTTTACAATGGCCAAGATGTGGAAGCAGCCTGAGTGTCTGTTGGTGGATGAATGGATAAAGAATAGGTGGTACATATAAACAATGGAATATTGTTTGATTATGGGTGGAAATAGGTTCTTGCCATCTGCAGCAGCATGGATGGACCTGGATGATACTGTGCTGAGTAGAGTGTGTCAGACAGAGAAAGACAGATGTAATGTGATTTCACTTATATGTGGAATCTAAAGAACAAAATAAACAAACAAAACAAAAACAGACTCATAAGTACAGAGAACATTTTGATAGTTGCCAGATGGGGTGGGGTTCGAATGAGTGAGAAAAGGGAAGAGATTAAGAAGTACAATTGGTTGTTACACAGTAGTCATGGGGATGTAGGGTACAGCATAAGGAATATAATCAATAATATTGTAATAGCTATGCATGGTGTCAGATGGGTACTAGATTTATCAGGGTGATAGATGGGAAGGGGACTGGGGGCAGGGTGAAAAAGTTGAAGAGATTAAGAAATACAAATTGATAGCTACAAAATAGTCATAGGGATATAAAACATAGAGGATATAGTCAGTAATATGGTAATAACTATGCATAGTGCCAGTTGGATACTAAAGTAGTTAGGGGGATCACTTCTTAAATTATATAAATGTCTAACCACTATCCCATACACCTGAAATTAATATAAAATAATAGTGAATGTCAAAACAAATAAGTAAATAAAGTGTAAAAAATAAAATAGGTGAATGTTAAAAATAGTAATAATAATAGTAGTAGTAGAGTTATTATTTCGAAATACAGTTGTGATCAAATACAGTAGGGATGATTCTGAAAGGTACTAGATGTTCTTCTAGGGATAAGGAAAGGCAAAGTGATTTAAAGGCAAAGAAAAATTACAGTAAATCAAAGCTCTAGGAACTGTTCTAAAAGTCATCATAAAGCCCAGTATTTGGAAGATAACTTTGACATTTCAGATCATGTGAGTGTTGGGCTTTGCAAACACTATTTCCAAAGACAGCAATATGAGTTTAGAGTCAAGGGTATCAGAGCAAAAAAAAAAGCTAAAGGCTATATTTAAAATTTTAGCATTTAACAAAGGCAGATTGAAATCTCAGGATAGTGAATCCTGAAAGAAGCATTTATTTTACAAGCAAGCATTTGGTACTTAATAAGTGATCACCAAATCCTCTAAGCGATGATATTGTTGAAAGATCCAAACAATGTCCAACTGGTCCAAAAAAGAAAGACAAACATTTCTTTACTTGTACAAAAGACTCTGAGAGGAGAAATTTTAACAGATTTTAGATGCCAGTGGGCTAATAGGCTAATATTTTTAAAATGCACAGCCCTTGATTTTATGTTCCAATTTTTCTTATAACTCTTGCATACCTACTTACTTGTCTCACCTTATTTGAATGGATGTTACTTATTGCAGCAGATACTGAGTCAAAAAAAATTGGTTTCTCTGAGTCTAGGTTTCCACAGTACTTCATTGCTTTTATCAAAGAAGCTACAAGAAAGCACAAATGATATGAGATACATAGCAACAAAAGGATCAATTGTTCAAGGATTAATGTTTGCCAAGAACACACCCTTCTTTACCTGTGCAATGGGCTAATGATACATCCACACCCCTGCTCTTACAGTCCATGTAAACCTAAAAGAATTAAAATAGTATATCCATAATTAATGTGGGAGTTAAGGAAGGCTTCAGAAGAAAGGAGAATTTCTAGTAAAACAGTCAACGTTTATGATGACAGACCACTAAAGGGAGGCATTTCAGCAGTCAGGCATATCCTAGCAAGCTTCTGAGACTGCCAGCAAAGATGAATGAAGCAGAGCATTTACCTTTTATGCAAACAAGTTTGTCTGCTTACATTTTCCACTTCATTTAATAAAATATAAAAGCATCACCTTTCCTTCCCTATAAGAATGATATAAAATTGTTCCCAACCCTCTATTATTGGCAGTCGAAGACACATTGTGAAAGTGATGAAAACCACTGACTGTAATATTGGGTTGTAAGAAAAGTCACGACGTATTTTTTCTGTTTTTTGTTGCAAAAATATGTCATGACTTTTCCGACAATCCAACTGCTTACAATTTGTGCATATTCATGGACTCTCTAAATACCATCCGTGAATGGTAAGTTGAGAACCTCGCTATAATTAAAGCCAAGTTTGATTGCCCAACTTCCATTTTTAAGGTCCATCAAGATGAGATTCAAAATAATTTGTTTGCCATACAGTAGGGTCTTGCCTTATTTAAGTCCAAGAAAATCTCACATACAAACAACTTATTGAAGTTCCTGATCTTAAACAAACTCAGGGGTCAATAAACTGAGGCTCGCAAGCCACATGTGGCTCTTTGGGTACGTTTCATCTCAAAAGTTTGCCGACCCCTGGAAGAGCCAATCCTGTCCCTCACAACAATTTAAAAATTATTCAAGAGCCATAAATATATTTTTACATAAGCACCATCATGTGAATAACATCCTTTAACATTTTTATAAACGAAACTGTGATAGTTTTAGTTTCATTTTCAATTTTACTTTAGAGCCACATGGACGTACCCAAAGAGCCACGTGTGGCTGGTGAACTGCAGTTTGCCAACACCTGGCAGCTCTTCCATCTCAAAAGTTTGCCAACCCCTGACCCAGACCAAAGTCGGCCCATAAAATGCAGTGCAAGTAACTAGAAGTTTTAGTAACTCTGGGGTGGATTTTGTGATATAATAGTGATGTATCTTATATATAAAATGTAGAAAGCTACACTTAAACATATTCTAAGAGTATGCATGATACATCCAAAAAAGTCCCTTATCGTCTTCTTGCAGTAAGTGGATACAGTGAATTGTATCACTCTGAGCATGAATAAACAAGCAAACAAATAAATAATACAGACTTCCGGTAAGATGGCGGAATAGACAGACGCTGTGCCGACCACCTGGGAGGTACAACAAAATTACAAATAATTTATAAGATATTCAACCTCGGAAGTTCCCTGGACCCTAGATGAGCAGAACCTCTAAACGAAGGACTTAAAGAGGAGGCCACGTCAAGTCCAGTAGGAGGGGCGGAGATGAGAGAGGGCGAACCCCATGAGGGTCACCTCAGCGGTGGGGAG